CATCCTGATTGTATAAATCGGGCTTAGTCCTTTTTAGCAAAAAACCCACGTAGGTACAATAATTAGTAATAGCACTGCTCACGCATAACGCATACCTTGAATAAGCACAGCCTCCAAAAAAGTGTTGAAGCGTCTACTTGATAATTTACCATAGTACAGTTAATATAAATTATCAGAGTATCTTTTTCCTGTAAATACATGCAGCTACTTTAGAAAACATTTTGCTTAAGTTGCCTCTGAACATTGATTGCTTCTTTAAGTATTTTATTGTTTATGTATTTATTTTATTTTAAAAAAAATAATAATAAAAACAGGCCTAAACACGAAACAAAATAGATATAAATGATGAAAAGATAAAAGATTACATGATGGATAACTACAAATAACATGCAGAGAATAGGCCTGCTCTCGGTTGGAAGTGATTTAATTGGTTATTAGATATCTATAGGTACAACCAAATGAAAATATTTGTTCAATGAATTAGCCTATCATATCCAATTGTTTATTCATGGGAGTTCTTAATTGTAAGCTTGTAAAAAAAGTTACCAAATTAAAAATTCTGACCACTATCAAATGGATATTGATGCAAATGACATGCAAAGATTATGTTATTGTATATTTTGTTTTAACATAAGCTATTAAGTTTGAATCATGGCACATCTACTGTTTTATTGCAAAATTCATTTACTGTATTTCATAACTTTTAATGTGATTTAAAGGGGGAACTCACTGCCCCCGACGGTCATCGGCTGAAGCAATTCTATGGAGAATGCAATCTCCATGATGCACAATTGATCGTTTTTAATGACAATCCATTCAGACTGCCACCGACAGTCAGCAGACAGTGTCGCGTTGTCTAGCGCTAACAGGCAGCGGAGTTTGATTCGTCGTATGACGCATTAAGTGCCCAGATATATAAATCAATGTTTAAATACATAGGTAGTTTCCACCTGTTTTAATAGCTCTCGTTTTTTTTTATACAGACGTCTTCAATAGGCCTACAACAACCTGTCTTATAGTTCTGTGCGCAGGTATGATGCCCACAGTAGACGCCTCTTCCCTGTGATGTAGATTGTTGCCAAGCTGAGAGTCTAAATAACTGAGATGACCTTTAATATATATTTCAAATAATTTCCACATTAACTACCAAAAATTTAAAAATGTTATTTGGAAGTAAAATTATTATTGTATATGTTTCCAGTCTTAAACATTAGGCCTACTTTTCAACCTGCTGGAATATATTTTATGGACGCAAGTAAAAACAAAAACAAAATATTTGCAGAAATACTCAACACTCAAGATAATACAGAATCATCATTAGATTACATCAGCATAACCCTTGAACCTGTGGTGCAAAAATGTAATACTAAATAAAGGAATAGATGTACATTGATATTGAAATCCAAGGCGAATGCTGACTTGTAGAAACAGGTGAGGCTTAACGGTGATGTTGCGCTAATCAGGGAGACTAACACCCAGTGTTGCAAACGCATCTTTTGGGCCAACACTAACGAACGTGCCGATATGGGATGCGCACGTCACCATGTAGCACACAGATAGGAGGTCGTATCGACAACTAATATAAAACCATGCTAGAGAGACAGCTGCAACAATTCAAAGTAGTAAAATTGGAATCCTTGTTGTTATGTTACATGCTAAGACCAATCACAATGTCTCAACACTAATTAAACTAAATAAGTGCATTCAACGTTCCACAATAATGAGGTTTCATATATTATATTTGTGTAAAGTGCTAAATTTTCCATGAACCACCATAAATTTAAGTACTGTGGGCCTATATATATACTGTATATTACATTGTGAACTACCGTAGTGGAACAAAAGAATAATTATATCGGCCTATATGAAGTGAAGGGTGAGGTATACACAGGTAAAACATGGACAAATATTTTTGGTGAGTTTCAAAGCCATGTGGGCATAGGTGCAGGGTTTTGGGTTTTTTTGTTTGTTATAGAACTAAGTTGAATTTACTACATGTTATTTTTCCTTTAATATGTGCTATAGAAATGTGTTACATCATTATTTTATTATTTTTTTCATAGGCATTTAATTCATTTTTTTCATTACTATTACTCATCTTGTTTATTGTTTATCTATTTAATTAACTTATTTATTCATTTGGCATCATTGCTTGGGAGCCGCAAACGCAGGAAACCCAATATGCTAAAAAAAAAACAAAAACATAAAAATGCCAAAGCGGACATGGATCATCACCCTGTACCCACTGAGGCCCTACACCCACTGAGGCCCTACACATGGTCCTTGTGGTAAGATGGCCTGAAGAAGTAAAGTTAGGCTAAGCCAGGGGACTAACGAATAATGTGGAAAATTTTCTCAGTTTTTCTCATTTCCCCCTTTTAGCGTCATATTCATAGAATATATACTGTACATACATGTATCTGCTTACAAGAAATATAAAAACAAAACAAAAACAAACAACTTCTATTATCAGTTGAGTTAAGATTCAATATTTCAACATTAATTATGTCATCATTCCTGATGATGACATAATTATTGTTGAAATATTGAATCCCAACACGATGGCGTGTATTTCAATACTTGGAGTATGTATTATACTTTCTTATCAGTTGAGTTAAACATACAGCTCTCCACTTTCTGAAAAAAAGATTCTTTAAGGATTTTTAAAATTATATAACTCAACAGCGCTCAAATATAAATTCATGTAATAACTGTTAATAATAAATGTCTTTACCTGTAGTTGATTGTTTTCCTCAATCCTATGTTTTTCCTAATCCCAATTTTATTTTGTCATCTATCTTCTTTTTAGCTATTTCTTATTTGGAGTTTTGTATCTGGAATGACCTTTCACCTTGTTCAAGGAATATATATTTTTTTTAAATATTACATTAAATTAAAAAAAAAAATATTTGGTTGACAGCAATACAGCTTCTTAATAAAATTTAATGTAATTTATATGAGTGAAAACAATAGCTATAATGAAGAAACTAAAAATAATAAAAATAAAAATTCTGTATTCTGTAGGTTCAAGGTTCAACATATCATTACAAAATAGTTAATAGTTAATATAATAATAATAATAATGATAATGATAATAATAATAATAAAATGAACAGTTATAAAGTAATATAAGTAGAGTAAAATACTTTGTCAGATTAATTGCAATAAAAACAATAAAATAATTAATATAGTTTATAAGGATCAAATAAATTAAATAAATTATCATCTTACAATATAATAGTGATCAAAACTTTAAATTTACAGATTTTGACTACAAAAAGCCTTAAAGATTTAACAGCAAATGGGTTAAAAAGCAAAGGAACCTTAGTATTGTAATTAGGAAGAGTCAGAACTATATAGAGGTTTTCAGTTTCCAATCAGAATGGATTAAAAGAACATCTAGCAGATTAAAAATTCATAGTTTCTTAATTAAAATTGGATAAATTCATAGTTTCCTTTTCTGTTTTGGTGATGAAATTATGTACTCTTGCTAATATAGGTGTATAACTGTTTCTTTAATCCAGTTAAATTTGGAAATTAGAACTTCAAAGTTTTGACTGTCCCTTTTAATCCAATTTTATTAACTATGAACATTTTTAAAGAGTGTTTTTTGGATACAACAAACCTTTTTAAGTTATGAATGTTCTTTTAATCCAATTCAATTAACCCACCCCCCACCCCCTTTTAGGAGGTAAAAAAAAAAGAAAAAAAAGGAAAAAAATGTTGTTTTTGGGAGTCTAGAGCACAAAAATTTCGCGGACCCCCTAAGACGGTGTTGTCTCGATCGGCCCAACATTCGGCCCCCCCTCTTTTGGACATCTCTGGATCGCCCACTGAAAAGTTTTAATTAACATGTTTAGATCTACTTTGTTATTGTGTGAATTAACTGACTTTACACACACAATTTAGGTTTTTCCAGCTCCATGCTTTATCACCCAGAACTCAAGATTACACACCACCTGTCATGTTCTCACATAGATAACGCGTTAACTGGCCCTGAACATGTATTTTAATTGTAGCAACTACATATAACATATGACCTCAACTGAATCCCTGCAGCTATATGAAATGAACACAAAGTTGTCAATGTCGATGATCACATTACCACAAAACATTTATGATTAATTTACGAGTTCGGAAAGTAACCTAGTTTGCATTACTTTCGTTATAGCAATAATGAGGTGGGGAAGGTGGCGCTGAAAGCGGCATTTTGATTTGGTTTTATTAACCTAATAAATAAGTTAGCTATGATAGGTCTTCATTAATTGAGAGGTATGACCCAGTTGTATTCCTGCCAAGTTTTTAGTCCGAGTTTTCTCTACCATGGAGAGTGATAATATTGTTGGGAATTGTTCCTATATGTGCGTAAAGATCCCATTGCTGGGGCCACCAACCAAACAGTATTTTCAAACAGTATGCCCTCTTCATTATAGAAATGGTGTTCTTTTCTAAAATTCCCTCTGCTTTTTGGTTGTCGTATCATTTCAAAATCAAACAATGGTTTTGTTCAATTTAAGTCCTCCAATGGTACTTCCCAGGGCAGGGAGATACATTTCCAGTGGTGTGAAGTGCAAGGTCCAAGATGGATGACTTGCTATAGTGGAGATCCAGGGGATAAGTTCCATTGTCAGGGGCGGATCCAGAGATGTCCAAAAGTTGGCCGATCGAGACAACACTGTCCTAGGGAGTCCAGGGGCATGCCCCGCAAAATTTTAGTGTTCTAGATGCCCGAAAATAACATTTGTGGCGTTCTGGGCTATCATTTTTTTTCTTTTTCTTTCTTTTTTTTCCTGATTGTAATTTCTTATTTATAAATGATTTAACATTTGGACAGATTTTTTTACTGCTGGCCGGGCGGTGAGCACTCCATTGGTTACCCCCACCCCCCCAGATCCGTCACTGCAAAGAGACGATTTGTTAATCACTGTCTGCCTTGGTGCATGTAATTGGTAATGGATATATAGAGACAAGAAGAATGACAATCCAGATATACACACACCTTCTAATTGATGCTAGGGTAATTTTTTTATTGTACAATACGTTACCAATCACTCCAATCTGTTCGTTCTTTACAATGTGTCGTCTAAATCTATCAAGAAAAAAACCTGGAAACAATCTGTATTCTAACAAGTATAAGAACCAAAAACATGTTATATAAAAGCTATTCAATAAATCAATGACAATCACACAACATATATCTATATACAGATAATGTCTCATGTTTATAGAGACCGTTCAGATCGGGAACAACTCCGCGAACATCAACATTATTTCTATCTTTGTCTATCTCACATTTACTTGTTTTTAAAAATGTAAAAATTGCACCAAATTACAAATTATGCAAAGATGAAAAGAAATAATTGTGAAAAACGATCATTAACAAAGCTATATTAAACATTCAACAGTTAAAAGTACTATTAACAATATCATTTTTGGTGTGCTCAAGAAGATTTTAATAAAGTGATCAGAAACAAATCTATCAGCTCAAAACTTTTATACATTCAAAAAAACTATTTCTAAATAAGTTATAGAATCATTGTTGGCATCAGGCCATGTAAAAAGTTGTTGACCATCCCCTCCTACCTCAACATATATTCAATTTAGAAACAAGATATTCTATTTTCAATCCCTTCAAATGTCCCTAAACCATTTAGACTGCTTGGAAAATCACTATTGAATTGTGGTTGCAGTAGCGCCCTCTATCAACTGAATGTAAACAATAGAGCACAAAGTTATACAAGGTATCATGGGTAACTGTTAGAAATGAGGTAAAACAAAAATTTCCCACTCCCTGCTAAAATTTGTGTGAAAGGGATGATCAACAATTTTTGAATAGAGCGGCCTTCCTGATTCTCAATCCTTTCAAATTCTCCCAACTTAACCACATGTATATTACCATACATTTGTGGATCATATTACTGGCATTAGATTCTGTTAACAAATGCCATTTAATAATACCAGAGTAGAGAACTGCAAGAGTTCCGACTCTTAGGGTTTCTTTGGAACGCAATTCTATCTCAAAAAGTACTATCACAAACTAAATGGCATCTTTCAGAAGAACATAGCGTTCATATCGAACGCATGCTACGTGCATGTTCGCGTTTCAAACTCTACGTTCAAATTTTAATAGGGCGCCCCCTATCTCGTGGTAATATTGTTGTTAACGTTTCATTGCATGCATACAAAATCAGGGCAGTCGGACCTTTTGCAATTCTATACTATTTGATAAATACCTTTGGAAACAGAATTAAACAATTTACTAAATAATCTGTAAAATTCACAAAACTTCCTCACTCAATGTAGATATAACTATTTTTTTAAACACCGTCAACTGGTGTGTATTTAACAAAGAATAATAAATATCTAAGAAAAAGGAAAAATAAACATGATTATAATATATACATTAACCCCACAAAATATTCACCAATCCCTGGATATTAAAGTAAACAGAAAAGGCACTTTTTATAAACTAGTATTTCGACCCTGATTTCTTTAAAACAAAACACAAACGGACAATATTAACATTCTTTCGCCCACTGATGAAAAGGTAATCTAATAATGAACAGCACAGAGAGTAAAGCAGAAGAAACATAAAGTTAAGTTGTTGAAAATCATGAGGTAGGCTTTTGAATAAAACCTGGGTAACACTGATTGTTCCAAATTAAGCTGCACAATCATCTGCTTGAAGACATACTACCTGTAATACCAACTATAAACTCTGTCCAAACTTTCTCTGATTAAAATGTGTTGTATGCCCATATATAAGTCATGATGTACCTATATATGGTCATGATGTGATGTTATAATTACCATATCTAGGCATGTGGCATGTTTTGGTCAAATAAAATTTGATAGCCTGGACAAGATTGAACAGCTTATTTTCAAGTTGATTAGCTTATAACACAGGCAGTCTCCTTCAAACATAATCAAGTTTACATTAGCATTGGTGGCAGCACCAGCTCCCCTACCAAGGTGGTTCAAAATTCCCGACAACGGGTGCACACTAACATCAAACCCACAATGTTTGGGACCGAAGAGAGCAAATTTAAGAATAGGTATCTCTAGATATAGGGTACTCTCAAAGTGTTTTCCAACAGAATGTTGGTTCCCCGACAAGGGCCTTGATCCCCAAGACATCCCCACTGGCGCTGCCACTGTTTAGCATACAATTCTGTAATAAACATTAAATTGTATGTCATTAATAGAGTGTACACTCTATTCAACTACCAAACCTTAATTCTGATAGATAAATATCTTTGCATTTCAAAATTTCGTCAGCAAATCAATATAATATTAATCTCAAGATTTCATTTAAAGATATTTGAAAATAATTTAAATAATTGAGAATTTTAATGTAATTAAATAACTAAGTACATAAAGGCAAATAAATAATACACAAAGATAATTCCAACATATTAGATTTAAATTGCAAGAACAAAGCAAATATTTTCCTATTAAATTTAGAGGAATCAATAAAAAAATGTTACAATATATTTTATTAGAGATATGTATATGTTCATATTTTTATAGAATTTTGAAGCCATTCAGAAATATTTTCAGCAATCTTTGGTACAAATGGCTTCAAGCATTCAAGCTACATTCTCCTTTGTAGGCCTATAATCATTTTTTGTGAATAATTTAAATAAAAAACACAATCAAGAGCACAACATTACTGACCATGCCATCAACCTTAGTTTAAAGCATGGTTCACACTGAAGTAATTTAGATGCGTTTTAAGGCAAATGCAATAAACGCTACATTAGTCACCACGATTATTTTCTGTGGGAACACCCTGAATTAGGCACGTACTAGCACAAGCAAAAAGTCTGTTAATGCAGTCTGACATACGCAATCATCAATACCAACATTTCCGTAAGTGGGAAAAAATGAGACAATGAAACAGTCGCAGCTTGCGTTTGCCTACGTTCTTTTGCATTTGAGGATATGCTAGTGTGAACTTTACCTTTAGAGGCACGAAGCAGAGCAGCTAATATATAATGAAGCCTGATATGGGAATCCTTCCTATACATTTGCAATTTAGCATCTAACTATAAAAAATTCATACAAGGTTGGTATGAATATAATAAACAATTACATAGATATTACATATCTTATGGGCATTTATTCATTTATTTTTAATATCAATTACAAACTCTTCAGTTATTCATTTACTTCCGCTTTTCATGTCATTTTAAATCTAAACTCGGGAGACTGCAATTATTAAATAACGGAAATCAACAGAGTGAGAACCAAAACCATTGCATGGTTTATCTGAAGTAATCAATCCAATTTCATGGGTTTCTAATAAAGCATTATTTTTGTCATTTGCAATCTTGAGTTGTCATGTGATGTTTTATTGTGGGCACATATTAATTCTTATGATAAAAGTGTAACCACTACATGTAGTTCAAATTAATATAGTATAATACTCCAAGTATCGAAATGCACGCCGTCATGTCGGGGTTCTATAATTCGACATAAATTATGTCATCATCATTCCTGATAATGACATAATTAATGTCGAAATACTGAATCCCGACAAGATGGCGTGCATTTCGATACTTGGAGTATATATTATACTATCGTATCTGAGATTAATCAGTGGATCTTTCGCTAGTTCAAATTGTCTCCATTATTAACTAATACTCTGAATGGCTGCAAAGCAACATGCATATAACAAACCAACAAGTATTTTAACTCTCATTACTATAAATATAAACTTTCAAAACATTGAAACAAAAACTACCACTGGATACATCCAATGATAAATCAATGATTTGCTATGAATTAATTATTTTCGGGACGGTGGGGGGGGGGGGGAGAGCGGGGAACGGGAATCTTTTCCATGATCACTATCCAGAACTGCACAGAAAACAATAAGGACAAAATTTCAACATGAGTTGCCATAATGCAGGGCGGATTGCACGTCAAAATGGCAATAAACAAAGTAGTAATTTGAGTAGAAAAGCTAGTACAGTATTTTAAAAACATTTTAAAAAACTAATTTGAAAAAAAAAAAAAGATATTCAAGTTAGTGGTGAAACATAACAGGATTATTAGCTGGCCATTTTAATGGTTAATGAATATATATACTGTATAATACCCATTCCCATTCATGGGATTTTTGGTACTTAATGCAGGTACAACGTATTGCTTTTTTTGCAAATTTAGTTTCTTGTTTGTTTTATTGCCGTTCCGATGTCAAAACATTTTAGATAGAGCTTGTAATCCATAACAATTCACAGTCCTAAGGACAAATAGTATATGTGACCCAAGCTCACCAAAAGGACTGTAAACTTGCACTACACTGTATTGAGAAACAATACAGTGTAGATACCCAAGAATAGGGCGTAGAACGTGAATATTGTGTGAATTGGGTTTTTGTGTAATAAATAAAGTATAACTATTAATCTTACTATTCCCGAAGTTTCAGTTTAAAATTCCAACTGTAAGAGATAAAATTTAGCCATTTTCGGATGGGAGCTAGTGAAAAATGAATAGAAACTTGCCGAAAATATAAGGATTTTTCTGAAAACTTGATTTAAGAAAGTTGATAAGATGACAATTATTCAAACGGTCGTAACTTTGCTTCCAGACACCCGATTGAGTTCATTTAACTGTCATTTTAAAGTAAATGATATGTTCTATGCCATTATAACAAAAACTCATTTTGGCCTGAGGACGAGCTTACAGCCTGTTTGTGAGCTGGGGTCACATATATAATAGAGGATTGTAAAAATCCAGCCTAATATGTTGTGGGATATAAAATGATTTACTGTGAATAAAATCATTTAGTTATTACAAGTATAAGCTGAAATTTACTAAACGTACCTTGAAATTAGTGATTCTCATTTTTTATGAACAAAAGGATTCTCAATTCCTACAACCGGAATACTTCTTCACCCGTATGGATAGAATGAATCCAAATCCGTAAGGACAGAAAATTCTCCACCCTTAAAAACAGATGTCAATCCATAAGGATAGAATGATCTCTGAAGAGACAAAATGATTCTCAGCCCTTGTGGACAGAACAAATCACATTTTTTACAGACACGATTATTCCTATTCCTTATGGACAGAATGACTCCTTTTTCTTATGGACCATATGATTCCCATTCCTTGCAGACAAAGTGATTCTCTGCCCTTACAGGCTAAAAGTTTTCCAGTTCTTATGGAGAGAATGATTCCCATTCTTTATGGACAAAATGACTCCATTCCTTACGGACAAAGTGATTCTCTGCACTTAAAGGCTAAAAGTTCCCAGTTCTTATAGACTGAATGATTCCATTCTTTATGTACAGGATGATTCCTATTCCTTATGGGCAAAATGACTCCATTTTCTAATGGACCGAATGATTCCCATACCTTACAGGCTCAAAGTTCCCAGTTCTTTGGACAGAATGATTCCCATTTCTTACGGGCCTAATGATTACCATTCCTTATAGACAAAGAGATTCTCCACTTTTATGGAAAGATTCCCAGTCCCTTAAAGTCAGAATGATTTTCATTCTTAATTGACAGGATAACATTTCTATTGACGGTATGATTCTTATTCTTTACGGATAGAAATTCAATTCCTTATGGATAGAAGAATTCCTATTCTATGGACAGAATAATCCTCAACCAGTATGGACAAAACATTAAGCATCTTAAAGAGAAAATGAAGAAGCAAAGGTATTATCATCATGAGGATTGTGCTCCTATTGGAGGAGTAAGTGGAGGACCAGCCGAAGCTGTTGATGGCGATGAAGACTGCACGTTGGGTTCTGCTGGTGGTGATGGTGATGATGAATTAATAAGTGTCAGGAAACTCTTGAGCTGTTCAATAGTGGCTTCAGTCTTCTTGAATGAATCATTAAGTTCTCGTTTGGCTTTAAGTTGATCCTAAAATGTAAACACAAAAATAAAAAAAGGAATGATTACCTAAAGTCTAATATATATGGACATATGGTATACTGCTTGTAAAATAACTAAGGCAATTTTAATGATAACGTCATTAATGGTAGGAACAATCTAAGATGAAGGGAATGAAACTGTATTACTCAGAATTTTTTTCAAATGAGTTTTATGAATTAGTCTTGTCAAGAGAGCGAGCTGGTTCCCTATCCACATCAAATCTTAAAACTCACTGTTATTGCATCATTTAGTTGTCTAGCTTTATCTTCCAATGAAATCCTCTCTTTTTGTAGTTCTGTAGACTTTCGCATTAAGCGCTTTTTCTCCTCTTCCTTGGCAGCTTTATGTTGATTATGTATAGCTTTGAGTTGGCCATTCCATGGTTGGGTTGGACTATGCTTTGCCTAGTAGATACAAGATATAAATGAAGAGTTATTTGTTAATTGATTAGTAAACAAATTCTTTTATACCAAAAAAAAAAAAAAAAAACCCAAATAACTGCGATTAACAAAGTGAACAGTATACAGAGTTTATTCTCATTTGCATAAATGATATGCTCTTGGTTTTAAGTATTCAGGTGTTTTTCAAACTTTACCACATACAGTATATCTTTAATTTGACAATAAATTCACAATGTTCTGTTAATGTGCAATGGTTCTGGTGGGTAATGCCAACCTCTTAAAGACTCCAAAAGTGCAGAAGTATATAGGAGGGTAGAAATAGAGTCAAATGACAGGAAAGTTTCACCACCGTTTGTTTGAACAATTAACAGTAAGAAGACACACGAGTCCACCAAATAAGGTTGTTGCTGAACCAATGTATTATTCTACCACTTCCTACTAAGGCCAATTCATAGTAGTTAGTTTGAACATTACACATTTAATATTTATCCGAAGTTAAAGTTATCCAAAGTGTAAAAAGCTGCAACAAGAATCATAAATGATGATGAATTGGTGAAAATAAACAAATTAAATGATTTTAAACAATTTATCAAATGTCCCAAATGAATGAATGAATTCATTCATTTCAGAAAAAAAAAAGCAAAACCAGAAAACATAAAACATTCAACAAAACAAGCATGAGAAAAATAAAAATTGCTAGCAAGTTAAGGAGTTGTTTTGCATGACACAGCCATACGATGCATCACATGCCTTATTACACACCCAACACTTTTACCTAATCACCACCAAATTCATACACATAACATTATGTTATAATTTCTATTTTTCCCAGTGGTAAGTAGCAAGGCAGGCTTATATTATACTACTATGTAATGTTAGAACATGCAACACAAGCAAGGTTGTCTAAATTTGAGCTTTAATAATTATTTGTACCAATGACTATTAAATACAATAGACAATTCATCTTGTAGTGATAGATAACTCATCCCATAGTGGCATACTTTTTGTTCACCACAACATAAATAGCAGCACGTTCAGATACAATGTCTACCCTTTGACATCAATCATCTGTGGCACACATTCTTAATGATTCTTTGAAAAAAAGAGTAAAGAGGTGACAACAATTGGAAAATGTAGTTTAGTAGATTGATTTGAAGGAGGGGATGTGGGCAAAAGCAATATAATTGAACACTAAACAAAAACAGACTGTAAAATGCAATTATACTATAACAATGTCCAACGCTTTTCCATCAACTGACATATATCTTGTCAGTTTACAGTACTAATTTTTTTATTAATTATTTAAATATGCAAGACACGATTTTTGTAATACCTTATTCAGCGAACCCGACGCCTGCAAATAATGATTTTGAATAAAAAAAAAAATTTTAATTTCGGCCAAACAGCTGCCGAAATTTCAGAAAAAAATGAAAGTTTGTTTTATTATTTTTATCATGCCCGCTGCTGCCTTGAAATCTCCAAAATCAAGATATGTATATTTGTTACTAATTATATAAATTTATAGCATTTAAATATTCACCAATAAAATTTTATTTTATTTTAAACCTCTTTTATAAATGAAAAAGCAAACTTTAAATATTTTTTCTGCCCTCCTTGGATGATGTTTAAAAAAATAAGTTCGCGAACCAAGGTATAAGAAAAGTCTCGCCAATTACAAGAAATAATTTATGTGGCTTAGGTTAATACATTAAATCTCATGAGATGCGTGACCCCAATGCAAACTTTGCAAGTGCCATTTACAGGTTTTCCTTACAGGAAATTGGGATTTTTTCAACGAGGTGCTTTATAATACTAAACCTACTCTTCATCTAAATAGATTACATATCTGAAAAACAGTAGTTTATTTCAACTTTCCCATTGTACTGTATAATAAATTGGTAAGATGCAATAAGGTTTTTTTTTTTCTAATGAGAATACATCAAAATCAAGTCTAAAAGTCATTCAAGATAAAGGGCTATATAGGAAAAGCTCATTGGAGCTGAAGAAATAAAATACTTTTCTTAAATTAGACTGAAAACATTCTCTTCACCAAAACAAATGGTACAATTCTTTGCAAAGACCCTTTTAAAACATTTCTGGTAATGAATTTATAGGAGTTTGAAAAATATCTGTAAACCAGAGAAAACCTAATTTATAAAGAAATTCATGGGAAAGTTGATAACATATTTGATAATTTTAAATGAGTAATATTTTTATAATTTGTTTACCGAATTTTACGTCAGACAGTATATAACTCTAATACGGTAATAAGATGTTCAATCAATGTTTAATGATGTATTCATTTCGTTGAATTACAAATTTGGTTGAAATGTCTGATCGTTTCTGATGACCTCTTTCACAGAAATTCTATTAATGTGCCAGACTACGAGTCTTCATACAGCCAATCAGGATGCAAGAGTTGACACACGACATATTAGGGAGCTTTCGATTGCACGACGACGGTAGGACGTATAACGTAATGACGTCACTAAAAGTCATCTGCGCATGCAAGAACGTTAAGGTCACCTCGTCGAGTAGATTCTTGAACACAATTTGGCAAAATCTACGTATGCAGAGAACGTAGGACGCAAGGTAGAACGGTCACGCATGAGTGACTCCGTTCTAGCATCGCCTCATCGCACAGATCGAAAGCTCCCTATTACACGAGATATTGTTAACATGCAAACAAAAGTAACCAAAAATTAACCAATCAAAACATAATTCTACAATACAAATAACTTAATTTGAAGCAAAAGAGTTCTACCCAACTTAAAAAGCTTGATAAACAAAAATGAATGCAAAAGGAAAAAAAACCGCAACTGTCCGAAACCTCTAAGACCAAACACACCAAGAATGTATACCTTGCATTGTGGACACATCCAAAACCCAGATGGTATAATTGCTAGTGGTGGCTGGAGACAACTAAGGTGGTACACCAGATTGCAGCAATCACATAGGAGAAGTTCTCCCGTGTGCTTACACACAGCGCACAAGTCGTCGTGGCTCTGAACAAAAAACAACGCATATAATGTAACTCCATGCATATGCTTTAAACTACTGTATGTCTACGCAAGTGTGCAATAATATCTTTTTAAAAATTGTGATTTATTATTACTTATTATTTATTTTCATTCGTTTAAAATTTAATTTAAATAATTTTGGACTGCAAAAAAAAAGTTCAAAGTTCAGGTCCTTTTGCATCGTTCATGTACAATCACCCAAAGGGACTTGTTGGTGTACATGTAGTCTGTACTGTATGCACATTTTGGTATCTTTTATTTTATTTTTGGAACACTTTTTCACTCAAACTAATACTTCCCCTTTGTACAGTTCAGAAAAGAATAGTTTACAGTAAAAGGTATTCCAGTGCCAGGAAGTACAGTGTAGGGGTTCATTCATACCTAATTATGTCACGACCTAGAATACTCACTACAAATAATTAGTTTCTGATGGCATAGCCAGAATCATGATGAAATTCAAAGAATAAACTTAATCAGGTCATAAACAAAAAAATGCATTAAAGGAAATAAATTGGAAAATTGAATGAAACAAAAATGATAAATGAGGCACATTTAGTGGAAGGATAAAGAGGGATATTAAAGCGGACACACAGATGATTATTAATGCTGTATTATTAGTAACACATATATTTAATGGCAATTAATGAAACAGAGCGCTATTACAAAAGGTAAAACATCACATCACACGTACATATATAAGATACTAGAATCTAAATCTCAAGTAATTAATATATCATTACTTCCTGCTTATCAAAAGTCAAAATCCTGGCTGAGTCACTAGGGCAAATAGGACTGGAGGTTTTCCCAGTTTCTGTAGCATGAAGCACATGAGAGTGCAATACTCCCCTTGGGTAGGATGTTCTTCCACCGCAGGTTACTCCCAGCAGTTTGCTGATACCAAATGGCACAGCTGGGTAGACTGAAACAATATAAAGAGCCTTGCTCAAGGATAGACACGTGCCACATGCACAGTGAAGGATTGAAACCCTGACCTCAATGTTAGGAAACCAAACGATTTCCACTGCAAAAAACCGCTTTGTACAAACATATTGAGCATTTTAATTACTTGCCATCCTGCCACTATTGTACTTTGTTCAAGCAATTGGTACAAAAATGTGATTCAGTATGAAATATGGCACACGGTTTACTATGTATGGCTCATAAAAACTGATTCCAAAACTGGACCTGAAATATGGCACACGGTTTACTATGTATGGCTCATAAAAACTGATTCCAAAACTGGACCTCAGCCAGACTTGAGCCCTGGTGGCTGTTGCGGCCATTTTATTAGTGTCTTTGTATTACAAAATACACGACTTCATATTAAATGCTTGTGTTATACCACATAATTCTGAAAAGGACTGTTGTTTTTGTTGAGAGTGTCTCAGCAAAAACGACAGTTGTTTTCAGAACTATCTACGTGGTGTACAACAAGCATTTAATATATTATTACTTCACCATGTAAACCTTCAAACAATACACGACTTTACTCAAAACGGGAGCTGTGCTCACCTGGAGATGTTTATCTAGTTAGTATAAGGTTCTCTGAGCATGGTGTCATGCATATCTTTACTATCTACATATATGCAAATTGTATTGACTTAAGCTAGGACTTGATTTATTTGTATGAATTGACATTGGTGATTTCAGTAGGAAAATCTTGGGACGTCTGTGTAAAATTGATCATGCATCACGTCTAAAACTTTGTCTGTGTAAAATTGGTACAAGCCTCATCTATATGAGCATAAAACAAATTCTAATATTTGCAAAAATCTTTACAGCCAATCTAAACCTCCACTACAATGTACTGTAATAGTGGGAAGTATTGATGGACTTAAAGTGTAAACGTTCCACCAGACCAAAAAGCGATAAATGCCTCAGTAATTTACTTACATCTCGCCTAGTACTATTGTCTGGGGTCAGAGGCCGACTGTCCGGGTTCTTTGGTGGGCGTCCTACAAAAAAAGCGAAAATGTGAAACTTTTAGCAATTGTCAAACATAAATGATACATACAGTTAATTCTTTTACCAAATATTACATCAAGTGCATATGAAATTTGTTTTTAATATTCAAAAAAAAAAATTAAAAATATAATTTATAAATTTATTCTATAATCTATATTATAAAAAAATGTCATATACGAATCTATTTAATCGATCGATATGTATGTACATTCTTTTTACCTTTATTCCATGGCTAAGTGTACAGAACCAGTATGCAAACAACCTAAAATGTTTCTTTTGAACACATGACAAACATCAACAATATGAAATAGTTCCAAAATTTAAACTTTTAATACTGTTAAAAATTTGAACATATAAATCTTAACTATGAAAACAACTTTTCTAAATATCATTATTAAATATTAATTTATATAAAATTTATTAAATTTACAAGGACTCCTGAGTATGTATAGCATAGTGACATATAAATCACTTTTTAGGTTAGTCCAGACAAAACACTAGTTATTCAAATTATATACACATAAACATGTTTCACACAACATGTTCTCAAAATCAATTTTTTAACATTAATATTTAAAATGGTTAATTAGGGACTAACAAGCAATCCACACAGCTATTCAATTTGAATTAATTCTTTTTCAAAATTGCAAAGCTGCAAAATGATCAGCATTAAAATGAAACGTGTGCAGGAATCAAGAGATACATTTATACTATTTCAAAATCTATGATCTTTATTACTATGAAAACAAAAATTGTCCAAATTCAATTAAAACTTATTTGCTATTAATCTCAGTCTAATGTATGAAATTACAAAAATGTTTGTAGTAAACATGAAATTACAAAATATATAATAAAATGGGACAATTATGATATAAATGTACATTTCATAACAGTTTTTCCCTACCAAAGTTGGTTACAAATCAATCTTTCTCCACACCCTTAATCATTTATGTTCTTTCAAATTCGTTTCAGCAAGCATCTAATACTCTGTGTCTTAAGCTCTAGTTCGGTATTTAGATTCCGATCTGAAAAACTTAACTCGACTACAATTATATTTCCTATACTACTGATGTTTAAAATGTTAGCTGCTCTATACCATGAAGAAAAGTGAACATTAACGTTGTTTGATGTTTCTTAGAAAACAAATCAAAATTTAAACTTCATTTTCCATTGCCTTATCCAGGCTCGAGTTGGATGAAAGCCAGTGAGACCAAACTTTGTGGCTTCTTCCATGGCTACTGTTTTGATCAAGAAATTCTTCACTTCATCTTCATTACTATACAGGCTAGTAAGTCGCTGGTAAACATGCAAACCATGATCTCCGGGGTTTGGCTTGGGTAGCCTCCTAGCACCCGCATTACTTCCGTAGTTGTGTTTTAACAAAGTGTCGTATAATCTGTTCCATCGAAACAGACATGTCCTGCTACAGTTGTACTTCTTGATAACAGCTTTGATGTTCTGATGTTTCCGGAAGTTATCCACAGCTGCAACTTTCTCTTGAATTGTCCATGAGCTGCGAGCCCTCTTCCCATCCTGTGGACTCTGTGGGTCTGTAGTCTCACGGTAGCTGGCACTCATGCGGGCTGTTCTTCTTGAGTATTTCATTGGTAGTGGCTGCTGTGAGATACTGTCTTCTACCTTTGTTTTGAAGTCTGGCTGAAGTTCTTGCTTCATTACTTGACCAGTATCACAACTAGATTTTAACTCACACTTGTTGAAATGATCAAGCAGCATTGACTGCGTAGAATCCAACAAGTTTGGAGCATGTTTCTGTGGTTCCTCCTTGATAGTTACATCATAAGACAATTCCTTCATTACAACCTGACCATTACTCTGAGAATCAGTGGAATCCATATGTTTTGCTGACTTATTTGACAGAGTGTGGTCGCTTCTTGAAAGTTCATCAGTATTGGCTACAACACTCTGAGAAGGATCTACAGTGATTACTGGAGCTCTAGTAACAGTTTTCTGATTGAATATGCTAGTGGATGGAGGTTGCAATGGCTTAGGACGAATTTCTCTATATCTAGACCTAGACATGTTCCAGTACATCCCTGCCAAAAACAATAAGCCACCAATTTTGTTCTTTCTGCTTCTTTCAAGAAAGTTTGGAACTTAAAAATAAACTTAGAACACTAACAAAGTGTTTTAACTGGAAACATATTGCAACCATAAAATACTTGCAGAACTGAGAACAATGTTGTAACAACTAATCCAACTTGAAACAATGTTGCGAAGTAATCCAACTTTGGAAACCAATTCAATGGAAACATTATTGCAACCATAAAACACTAGGTGAACTGAAATACAACAACAACAACTAATTCAACTGAAACAATGTTACAAAGTTAAATTCAACTGGGAAAACTGTTGTAAAACCAATTAAACTGGAAACATTGTTGCCAGCAATAATTAACTCAATACTGAAAATAATGATACAGGAAACACTTTAACTGAAAAAGATTGTCAACTAATTTAACTAGAAACAATTTTGCCTAAATTCAACTGAAAACAATGTTGCAGCAAATAATTAAACTAGAAACAGTGTTGTTTTATAATTTAAGTGCTAATAAGCATGTGAATTAGTGAAAACAAGCAAATTTTAGTGAATGTATGTAACATAAAGATGTGGAATGTATTCGATAACAGGTTCTGAAAAAGTAACTCTGTCGTAATTCATGACCAGTTATACCCGAGTTATACTGCAGTGATTCGCAAATCTCAATAGCAAACACAATTAAATTATACAGAGGCGAACCATCTGGCCAGCCTGATCCTTTTGGAGAAACGATACTCAATAATTTTAGGAGAAAGCATACTTGACAAAACCTAATTTTCTCTGCATGTACTAAGATTAAATACAGGACCTAATTCTTCTTCTAGTACATGGTACTGTACATTGGAAAAACAATTAGTATCAAATGATACTGCATATGAAAATAAACATAAATAAAGCAATATTATGTAGTTAACACTATAAATAATAACATAATTATTAGTGCTGATAAAAGTGCAATAAATAGTTAAGATAATGTAGAGATTCAAACAACAAGTGCGACTGGCGACGCTGGACACTTTGAAAGTTTTGGTAACAAGAACAACCCAAAAACACTAACTGAAAATCTATCATAAAAAAAAAAAAATAAAAAAATTTTAAAAAATCCAATTTTAACTAATAATATAAATTTCAAATGAAAGTAAAAACAACCAAAAATCAGAAAAGAAATTTATGAGAAATTAAAAAGGAACAGTTCTGAGTTTTTCAATTATTTAAAGTGACACCCCCACCCCATAAAAACTTGCCAATCATATTGACAATCATAAGCTGTCACTCACAGCACCTGATTCTGCTGAGCAAAAAAACACGTTTTTAAACGGTTATTAAAAAACATAATTTTTCCCCCAGCAGGGACGGGCCAAAAAACATGGTTACGAATGCGTTCTAAAAACACATGTTTTAACACGTATTCGTTATAGGATATGCGTTCAGAAAACACGTTTTGTGGTTCACTTTTCAGCTGCAATGCGCCATGACCCAAATTGATCTCTTCGTTGGTTTGATCGCTCGTCCGCAAAGAAAAAAAATAAACCAACAGGATGACAGGCTTTACCATAATTTTTTCATACTTTCGCGGTGTGTTGTTTACTTCTTTCGCAGCATGCACTGTAGCTCGAAGGAAGTAAGGTCAACTTCAACTTCCGTTGGTGATCGCCATTGTAAGCTCCGCCCACCTGCCAATGCTCTCATTACTATGTTTTTATTAGTTGCACTTTTCACTAGAAACGCGTTCCCAAGGAATTTAACCATTAAATTTATTCTGCAGAAACACGCCCAGTGTCATGCTTTTCTAATTTTAGTTCGGCTGAGGGGCAACATGTGATAAACAGCCATGCACACAACACTAATTATATCGACAGTAATACATAAAATATAAAAAGAAATTTCAATTATTTGCCATTTCAATTATCATGGAATAAAAAAACTCAGAACTGTTGGATTAAAGGAGCATTCACACGAACATTACAACACTAAGGTTACAAATCACGTTTAATGCGAGTGTACCTTTAAGCAAGACATGTGACTTTAACATCCATTCATGTATGGCAGCGATTGGTGCGAAGGTGGCTCACAACCTCAAAGTCATAGGTCAAAATTCTTACCATTAATTTATGTTGTGCCCTTTGCAAGGACACTTTACTACGGTGTCCTTTCCGCCATAAATGGGTACTTGGTAAAGGGAGCCAATAGGCGTTTGAAGCCGGTTTTACAGTAGGCAAATTTATTCGCACAAATTGGAAGTGTCGTTTCATGTGCATGCGCATTCACATTTCTATCAGAGTTTTTCGCTTCAGCAAAATCAGTAGTTGAAACTGTTTCAACCACAACCAATCACAGGTCAGGTAGCAAACCGAAAGTTTCGATTCACACAAATAAATTTGCCTAGTGAAAACCAGCTTTATCCAGTGACCATAGTAATAGTGAGAAGGTCATAGGGCATGATCTGGCATGTTATTTTCTACCAGATTAGTAAGCATACAACTCTTGTATGTATGTATTCCTACAAGCATGACTCATATATATTCAATCATTTTTTTTCTCTTTCACATATTTTAAGTTAAATTTTCTCACTGTTCAAGCCATATTTTTGGTAGTTAACAAATCACAAGTCTTGCTTCTCTGACAACTTAAATACTCACCACGTCTTCTTTTGTCAGTTGGCATGCCATTCTCTACTAAACCATCTGACTTACGGCGCTAATAAAAAACAAATATATATAATGAAAAAATACATAAAAGCATACAAAAACTTAATCATGAGAGTATTCTTTCATGTAGCCAGATATTAGACACTGATAAGTAGGTCATTGTTTGACATCCAAAAAACATGGGAAAAGACAATGGATTTAAAGAAACAAACATATACTATATTAGTCTGATCAAACTTAGTCTGTGATGTCAGACAAACAAAATTGTAAGTATGTACCTGGCTAATTAAGATGATAAAAATACTTTCATGCATATAAATTTATGATTTAGGAAGAAAGAAAGTTCAAAATATAGAATCACAAAGGCTTGTATTAATTTCTTTGGAGTTTGTTTGATACTGTAGTCAAACTTATCAGTGAACACTATGGTAAATGTATTATCCTCATTGACATTTGATCCCAATAGCTGTATATCATAATTTTTCTCTCTACTACCTAAGCTATGTGGCTAAGTTGGTCCCACAAAACTAAAGAAAAAATGCAAGTTTTCATTTCATTTCATAACAATAATTCATAAAATGTATGAAAACAGGACAGATGAATCACTTACTAAAACAACCCCTTGCTCATATTTGGCATAATTGCTGAACTGTGGGTTTGCTGTGGTACGTCTTTTTCGTTCTGAGCGTTTTCTTTGCAGTTTTTCGGCCATCAGGGGAGTAATCAAGTCCAATGCAGCCATAAAATCAATCTTCTGAAAAGTTCCAATCATATTAAAATGTGTGCGTACTAGTAAGAATTCATTATTGTATACAATCTACTGCATCCTTAAAAAAAGTCAAAACATCAGGCCACATAATAAAGTGCTAATATGAAGGAGGATTTATGTTTAATTTGCCTTCATTGTAAACCACGCATTTTAAAATCTTTTTAATTTAAATCACTAAAAAATTAGATACTTAATCATGTCTTGGCTTAACGAAGTCATATTGATAACATGATAAAAGGTGGCATAAATTAACATACAATTATCTGTTTACAATATAATGCACTGTTTATACTGTGCAAATAGTATAATAAAATACTACCTGGGACTCTGGAGTGTCTGCTTTCTTTGTTGAAGCTTCTTGTGCCGCTTGTTGTTGCTGTTGTTGCTGTCGCAGTATCTTCTTTGCAGTATGTAGATTAGATGCCACCGACTTGTAAGGATCCTGTAAAAATTATGAAGAATAAAACATAAAAAATATCAGGATAATTTTGTTTATAATTTCTGTATTTGCAATCTTATTGGTGAGATATATGATATGATGATTTCTACAGATGTAAAATCTATAGGTGATGATAACCTCTTGAACTAAAGAACAAGAAACATCATTATACATTTTTTCATATAGTTGGCCATCTTTTACTAACATTACAACATACACCTGCAGGCACCCTGCTTCTTCTTTCGCTTAACTGTCATTTCTTAATAATCCATACAATTTCAGTTACATGAGAAGCACTAATGATTTCATGAATCATTTTCATGAATTTCCTTCCCATCATGCATTCAAATATTTGACTTGCACATCTCAAACACAAAATCTAGTGGACACATCAATATCCCAAAAAAACATGTACAGCACTACCACATTAATTAGCACCTGGTCAATTATCCTGGATAAGGGAAATGAAAATAGAAAACTAATTGAAATTTTTGCAATAGAATAATGTGCCAAATACACATTTTTTTCTGTTTTTTTTTTTAAATTCAAACTGAAAATAGTTACTTTGTGTTTTAGTATTTTAGCATAATTGGTAATTAAATGGTTATCAGTACTATCAGTTTTGTTGAAACATCTTATTGAACAACCCATCGATTTTCTTGTGACAATGGAAATTAAATTTCCAAAGCAATTTTTGGACAAATAAATATTATCTTATCTAATCTGACCATTACATATACCCAATAAAACTATACCCATGAATGAATACTATTCAAAAAAATAATCCCTTAAATATTGCAATCCCTGGATATTCAGTCACCAGGACTAATAAACATGGTAATACTGCAATAAGATTTGGTAAAACTGATAAAAAAAAATTGTCAAAAACAGTGGGTAAAATTTACTTGAGGTATTGTACATAAATACGGTAGGAAATTATAGTAGGAAGTACAGGTGAAGAGCCACAAAATTATAGTTATATAACATAAAGCTACTATACATTACAGACAATGGTAATATTTAACAACTAACATCGGAATATCTAACATACTGCAAGGAGCTTCATTATCTAAGCATTCTCGTTGGAGGCAAGACGACTAGCCAGTTGCAATCATACTATACTCTGTTCATCATGCATATAGTCTTCGTAAAATTTCAGACATTACAGGTAGAACTCCACTGATTGTGCACGGCTTTAATTCCCAATACACTTAGAGAAACGGTGATAGCAATGTTGCATGCATCCACAACAAGGTAATGCACTCCTTCAACAAGGTGACTTGCTCCTTCCTCCTCAGACGGAGAGAACTCCCTCGTCTATCGGATTACAGAAATAGAATCCAAGCGGTATTTGTCTGCTGAGTAACCTGTCCGACGATACATTCCGCTCGCTTCTCTTTGTCCAAATGAACCAGATAATTAAGCAGATATGTGTAAATGTCACACTTGATGTCATTAGGTGTGTGTGTGTATATGTGTGTTAGTATAAGCCGAGAACACAGTTCTATATTGGATGATGTACACGATATTACAAATGATGTTGATAATGTCACGATTACACTAGGGAGGCTTGCCACCAATTTCCATGCTTTAAAAGCAAGCGTGGAATATCTAGTCTGTCATTGTAAATGCTAAAGTAAAATCTTACTATACTTTATTACTCTGCATATCTGACAAACTCACGTTAGCTCTTCACATAAAAATTAATGTTACAATGTGCAAATGCATATATTTCCATCTACGATATCAATTTGTTCTACTAAACTTCTAACATTAAAAATACATTTGTACGCAGCATAGAACTGTTCTCATCATAATTCTTGACATTGCAACATTAATGTTATCTGATATGTATAGAGCACTCCACAGTACACAGGCTTCTAATTATCATATATCATAGATTATCAAAAAATAAATTTACAGAAATACATATTAACAATACAAAATTGCACTTTACTCACATGTCAACCAAAAATAGGACATTCTCATTTAATAAAAAATAAAAATACTTAACAATATTAATTAAGGACTTATAGCTGCTATTAATATTATAAGTCAACGACGTCATCACTTTAATTCACAATGTTATTTGCCTATTTCCCACCGTTCACTAATTTTTCAGCTAAATATAATAAATCTGGCTAAATTTAGCATGAGCATGTTATATTTTTAAGTGGATTGTTTCTATAGATATGAATATGAAATTTATATAAACTATACAAAATTAATAACGTTAATTAGCTTGTTTCTATTTTACTAGTCTTATACAAGGCAATGTATATTTTTAATGTCCATGCATTGTGACTTAATGATGCAAAACAAAATTAATATATAATTTGCAAGTAAAATAAATTGATTAATATATTCTAAAATTATTTCAATAAAAAAAATTAAATAGAATTGATACTTTTAAGATCTTTTGTTAAGACCTACTCAAATCTGTACATACTGTACCATACTTTACAGATATTCAAACTTAATGAAACTTCATATGGTTAATTTTAATAACTACCTGTAGTTATTAATACAAATACTACTACAACTGAATCATGTACTGTACATAAATGATGTTGTACCACACTGAATAGTGCCCTCTACAGTATAATTTATCAATTCATATCAATGTACATGTCATGCACACTATGCTGCAATACACATACAAGCTCTGTGTACACTATATCATTAATTGTCATTTTCTGTCACTTTCTTAAGCATATGATGTCACACTGTACCAGTATATGGGGAAAAAAACCCAAAAAAAATCATCTTTGAAATAAACTTTTTGATGTAACATAAAAATTACAACTTGAACATAGAAAATGTAAGTGTTTTAGCCATTGTTTTTGTTCTGATTTATTTTCTATGCCGTGCAATGGTTACGAGTCACGATGTACCTCGCTACTACCATTGCAGCCACAGTTCAAGTCTCACTAATAACGTCGCAGTGAACTTGGTTTTTTGTTTTTATTTTTTTTGTTTTTTTCTTACTTTATACCTTTTAACGACTTTTCTTTTTGTTCACTTTTAACTTCACTTCTCATTAAAGCAATGGGGAAAAGCCCTACATGTTCTGTTGTTTAAACAGACATAGTAAGTCTAGTTATTTTTGTTATAATTATACAGGTTAAAAACCAGGGTAAACATTTTTTTTATTAAATTCAAGAATTTAATGCTCAAGTTAATAATTTGAGCACATTAACTTTAAAATTGTTTTTTTTTAATGATTTTTTTTTGTCATTTTTAAGGGACAATACATCTTTGACTGAGCTTAAAAAAATATTATATATAACTATTAAAATGTTTGTGACTAAAAAATAAAATTTTTTCTATGGTGACTTGATTTTTTGATTTATATCATTTGATATCATCAATTTTATCATCATCGTCATAAATCATAATTACCGCAAACATATAGCCAGCCATATGCCAGTGACAACATTTATAACATCATGTTAATTAGTTATAAGTTTATACAATTTCTATTATATTCTTTACTGGTGCAACACATGAAATCATTCTGTAGTAACTATGTTATATAATTGTTCTGTACATTATACAGTAAATCATGATGATTGTGACAATACAACAATCAAGAAGGAGACGACTGTAACATTTATGAAGATGATAATGATGACTATAATTCTCATGAAAATGTTAAAAAAAAAAACATCACTGGTGTTCTATTAATTTAAAATGTTATAGTTGAGAATAGTTGAACATCATGCATCAACATTATTTCTGCAGCAGTTGTTTGGCTGTTTTTTGTCATAACATCGAACGGATATATTAATATAGTACAACCTTGAGAAACTAGTCTTGATGTTCAAATGATATCAACATATGTAGATATTATATTATGAATATTCATAATGATTAAATATTCAATGAAAATTTTACACTAAATGATGAATATTCATTTAATTAAGTACATGAAATCTAAACTGTCACCATGAATATGAATATTTTTAATTAAGTATTTCATAATATATTTAAAATCTATAGCTCATCATGATATTCAATTATTAATTGATAATTATCAATTTTGATTGATTATTTTGATTTTTATACAAACTGAACTACTTTGTCTTAAGAGGCACTTGAAATTTTGGGTCAGTTATAGAGCAACTATCATTAGTTAACACACAATAAAATTAATTATATACACACAAATGTACAGTTATTGTATAAACCACAAAGAAATTGAGTAGGTAGCAATGACTATTGTAATGCAAAAATGTTGCCTCAGACAGACTCATTTTTAAACAGTATGAATTACACCTGGTGGCTCACATCATGTACTCCATTTTGATATATTTCACAAATTCACATTCATATTCACATGTGTGATTACAATACTCAACTACATCATTTAAATTTAGACCTGATTATTAATATTCACAGTTGCAAATAGCAACCAAAATAAACATACTCAATATAAACAGGATCTTGACTTAACACTAATACTCTTATTTGTAAAGCAGTAGACTGAATTTAATAGCTTGTCTCTTTTTTTTTCCTTTTTTTTTTAATATTTAAAAACATAACCAGGAGAGAGAGTGGTGTGGCCAGAACGTTTTGACGCATGGACACTGACCAATGGGACCTAGCAACTGAGCTGGTTTCCCAACAGTTTGTCAGATTCCTGTTTTAACTCCCATCCAAATGTACAGTATGCTAAATCTACCACTGCTCCATTATCCTTTTCTTGGACAGCCTGCTGTTTTTTTGTTTTTTTTTTGTTCTTTCATAAACTTTACAGTATATGTCATAAAACTGGTTAAATTTCAGTTTGACCAAATCATATACATTCAGTATTAGTTACTGTTTGCTTGTTTTTTTTTGTTTTTGTAATTAATTTTTTTAACCTTCACATCCAACAAGTACTCGTCACTTATAAGATGGAATGATGCTTTATAAATTAAGTCTCTTATTGAGGCTTAGGGAGTGGAGTTGTATTTAGTTATGAGGAAAAGTCCTGAACCTAGGACTCTGGCATTAGAAGGCAAGCATCTTAACCACTGAGCTACACTGGATGTATTATGTATACTGAATTTTTTATGTACATATAATGAACAAAATATAATCCACAATCATTAATATTCATCTTCATATCCAGTGTTCTCCAATGCAAGGCTTAGTAAAGTTGTTTCTTTAACTAACACATAATTTTTACTGGTTGGCTATTTATTATTACCGGTATAAATTGATGACATCTAAACTGGCATCGGGAGAACAGTGATATCAATTCAAAAAACATTACCAAACATTTATCGACAGAGTAATGTGATAATTAAGGAGGGCAACCTCTACAGTGGAATTTCCTAATCATCATTTTAAGGAATGTTGTGCATCCTGTGATCACATTACCAATATGGATAATTGAATAATTCAACAATTTTTAGAATGAGCAAACTAACAATCAAAAAATAAAACTGTGATGGTATGTTTTAGCATATTATGAGTATGTCTTTAATAATACAATTTAGTTTTTTAATGTTGTAATTGTTTTCTTGATATTTTTGTAATGTACACATAACATATTTTTATTCTGTTGATCAATACACTCTCATCTAATAATCATCTCTAGTCATCTGAAATCCATAACCAACAGGCTCTTGTCAGATTGGTAAAACAATGTATGCCTGTTTATACGTAGAGGGTTTTTTGATAATTTTTACTTTTAGGTAAAGTAATTCCTTGGTTGGTATTTCATTAACAATTAAATTAGGTTTTAGTCCCTGGGGACCCATGCATCTGTAAGTTCAGCACTACCCTTGGTGGCAATGTGTGAGGTACATCAGCTGATACTTCTCTGTCCTTTTTAAACATAGAGTAGTGTTGTTGAATTTGCACATGGAATATGTTGTACAGTGCTTAATCATCTTTCCAAAAAGGTCTGCTATAACCTGTAAAAGTCTGTTATAACCCATACTGCTCAACCACCACAACCACATAAGCATTCTAGAATTAAGTTCATTCGCAAAATTAAAAAACCTTTTGGTTTCATAGCTGGCTGTATGCAAATTTGTTGGCCCAACAAATACACTTCCGCTCTGTGTGATTGCTTGAGATGCAACATTGTCCGCTGATTGTTGAACGCAGCCCGAGTGGATTCTTGTCGACCTTTTTAAATACCTACCACATCTCCAAAATTCAGTCACACTAGCTGTTATGTCCTTTACTTGAATATTTTAATTCAACTTTATTTTAATTCTTATATAACATGAACCACTGTTAAACACAAGACCACCAGGTTAAACATCTCTTCACACTTGGTATATGGGTAGAACCTGTAATTTCATTGAGAGCTTAATAGAATAGAACCACGAACATAAATAACACCTACTACAGTGGTGATCACTAGCTTTAACTAACAAGCAAGTAAATCCTTGCTGGGCCCATAGGGGCTGGAGCTTACCCCAAGTTTCTGTAACGTGAAGCAGACGAGTGTGATGCTCCCCCTTGGTGGGATGCTAGTCCACCGCAGGTTACTCACATTGATACAGCTGGGTGGATTGAAGCAATGTAGCTAAGTACCTTGCTCAAGGACACAAGTGCAATGCACAGCGAAGGATTGAAACAGTGACCATGAAGTTGGGAAACCAAATCATTTCTACTTTGCCAAACCACTTCAAGTATAGACAAGATAAAGGGCATAGTATGCTTGTTTTGAGAGTAAGCAAACAATAGGCCCTTATACGCAGCTACGAGAGGATGCTCGCTTCTTTCTGATTCTTTTTAATTACCCAGTAGTACCTAGCACGGTTTGTTTTCCATGATACAATTCCTTCATAAAGGGCGACAGTTATAATAGGGATACATTTTTAGATATGGATGCTGTTAACATCTTACGTAGGCACAATGCTATTAGACAACCAGAGCACAGTGTGTGTATGGCGAATTCCATCCAGTATAAATGCACATACTACATTTTCGAAATAGTCTTTGGCCTCTTCACTTTTTATATTCTTTGTTGTAGTAAACTATACTTTAGGTGGTATAGAAACATGGTACCACGAGTGATAAGACAAAATCGACGTTGCAACTCACCTGAATAACTGTTGGACTTGATGCCCTCTTATTACTACCAGACGACAGCCTGACTGTTGTGAACGTAGGTACCTTAATGGGGCTGTTCGTCATGATGGACATTCTGGACGGGTTTGAATAGTGAGATGTATGGTGACTGCTGGACGTATGATGGCTTGAACGTTGACCACTACTAGGCGAAGGTGACACCAGTTTAAATGAGCCTAAAGATGTAGAGAAAAAATAATTGTAGTTAGTATTTTATAAATATATAAAAAGAAAATTGTATTCTACCTTGCATTTGGTGTATTAAATTATCTCTGTTCTACTACACATGCGCCAATTATTGTAGAGGCGTAGATAATCTATAGTCGAAAGTGACATAAGCAAGGGCAAAATCTGTTTAGCTTAAAATTCAAGACCACCTTATGACCTGAAAAACTGAGGTGGTCGTGGGGTTCGGGCACCAAATTGAGGGTTTACTTTGCGTTAAAATATGGAAGATTGTAATTCGTTCTTTGAAAAAGTGGTCTTTGAATTAGAGGGTTCTTGAATAGGAAGGTGCACTGTAGTGCATAATATCTAAGGGTGCATTTAAAATTACAACCACTTGATGATGTTAAACATTCTAAAAACTATTAACAGTTTTCAATTTCAGCTTTCTCAGAAACTTGTTTAGGGATAGTAATCTGGACAACTTCTGAACACTAATATTTTACAAACTTTAAATGTACAACTAAATCAGAATTAGCAAAGTGTAAATAACATTAGAACATTTGAATTCACCAAGGTCTGGTCTAGACCCATCCAGGGCTAACCTGCACATGCCCAGAACTGAAACTTAGGTGACCTTACAGCAATTTCAGAACCATAAGTAGAATGGAGACTACACTATAATGGCATGTGGTATCATAAATTCCTACTTATTGATATTTATGAAACATATGTTTATATTTCAGTCTCAATAAAAAACCAAAAAAAAAAAAAGCAATTTTGTTTCCTGAATGCAAAACTCTTGGAAATGTTGCTGTTGTAAGGACAACACAATCTTGAGCTAACCTAGTTGTTGCACTAAAGTCACTTTAGGTGACCATGCTTTGAACATCCAGCCCCTAAACTACTGTATGGAATGCTCTACTAATGGAAATCAGGAAAGCAAGAAAAATTCATCTTTTTATTATTTCTTTTAATTGATATTTTTAACACCTTGTTGGAGATCTGATTACCGTGAAATTTACGTGTGATGTTCCTTGCCAATTTGAATTTTATTATTTAACTTTTATTGTGATGCAATTTGATTGACTTTTAGTATGTTGTTGAATTTTAGCTTCCCATAATTTTTACTTCCTCTTTTAAATTGTAAATTTGTATTCTTGTCTATTTTATTGTAATGCACTGCACATTTCAACATCTTTAATGGAATTTGCACAAAGCGCTACTATGACAAAAAAGCACAGGCAAGCGCGCTCCCACCGCTACAACAAAACCAGACAGTTCGAATAAGAACACAGAAAGGACATGATCGCCTGGGAACGATCAGCAAGATTCTGGAACAGCCAAGATCATATATGGTCGATACCGGTGAAACGCAAATAAGAAGAAACAGAAAATATCTGCTTCCTGTAACAGAAAACAAGCCTATACAAAAAGCTCTTTATATACCATTACAATTCCAGGACACAGAGCCGATACACAACCCAAAACCACAAATGCAAACTCAAGCTCGTGAAGAACTACCACAAAAACCAACACAGATTCAGCCAACAAGAACCCGAAGTGGGCGAACTGTCAAACCAAATCCCAAATACAATAGCTCTATGTTTGCACAAAAACTAAAAAAAAAAAAAATAAAAAAAAAAAAATAAAATCAGAATTAGCAAAGTGTAAATAACATTAGAACATTTGAATTCACCAAGGTCTGGTCTAGACCCACCCAGGGCTAACCTGCACATGCCCAGAACTGAAACTTAGGTGACCTTACAGCAATTTCAGGACCATAAAAGTAGAATGGAGACTACACTATAATGGCATGTGGTATCATAAATTCCTACTTATTGATATTTATGAAACATATGTTTATATTTCAGTCTCAATAAAAAACCAAAAAAAAAAAAAGCAATTTTGTTTCCTGAATGCAAAACTCTTGGAAATGTTGCTGTTGTAAGGACAACACAATCTTGAGCTAACCTAGTTGTTGCACTAAAGTCACTTTAGGTGACCATGCTTTGAACATCCAGCCCCTAAACTATGGAATGCTCTACTGATGGAAATCAGGAAAGCAAGCAAAATTCATCTTTTTATTATTTCTTTTAATTGATATTTTTAACACCTTGTTGGAGATCTGATTACCGTGAAATTTACGTGTGATGTTCCTTGCCAATTTGAAATTTATTATTTAACTTTTATTGTGATGCAATTTGATTGACTTTTAGTATGTTGTTGAATTTTAGCTTCCCATAATTTTTACTTCCTCTTTTAAATTGTAAACTTGCATTCTTGTCTATTTTATTGTAATGCGCATTTCAACATCTTTAATGGAATTTGCACAATATCAGTGAATAAATTATTATTTATTATTATTAAATTATAGCTTGCCTGACGAGGTAAAGGTAGGAAAATAACCCACAACTCACAGAGTCATTGTGCTGAAACCCTCTATTCCTCCGAAAGATGTAATGGGTTCTTTAAAGTGCACACGAGCCAGATGGATACACTGGACCTCCTGAAGTGGCTGAAACCAGCGCCTTTTTTAAGGCTGTAGTTAGCGGTGCTCCTGCCTTACCTTTTAGCCACTGAACTCGACATCACAACTGATACATTTCTGGTATATAAGTGCCCTTTAAGAATTTCCCATTAAAGGTATAACAAAAATATGAACAGCTAAATGCATTTTTTAAATTATCAGTAAAGTTTAATAAACGTATGAAATTGTTGGCCACAATTATGACACCCATTGAGAAATTCCTTTAAGTTTTGGAAATCCGAGATGACCGACGGGTTGCAATTGTAGCTTACCTGTTAGTTTTGGCACCTGTACAGTCTGTTGCTGGTTATTACTCCTAGATGTTAGTGGCCTAGAAGGATGTACAGTAGGAGCTCCCATTTTCTGTGAAACGAAAAGTATTAACTATTAAACATGGATCATTGGATGTTCTTTTAAATTTGATGAAAAATGCGAATACTGTATTGTGAGGGACTACAGTTAAACTCGCCTAAGTTTGCATTGCTTAACTCGAATAATTATTGTGTTTTCCATTAATTAATGATATGAAGTCGCATTTTATCTAATTCAAACAATTTTTCAATGTCATTTTTTATTTGACTTAGGCAAGTTCAATTGTACAATGTAATATAAAATGTGTATGTTATTTTCTTTATCTTTGATCACTGTATGAAGGTAAAACTAATAAAAATTGAATATTAGCATTCCTATTAATTTTATAATATTTTTCAATTAATCAATATAAACAATTTGTTATATTATTTGTATAGACAAATTAAATCAGCCAGTAATCAAATTCTGCATTGACTAAACTTGGTATAAATTACTGGGAACATCTTTTGATTTAAAGTTGATACCATATCCGTTCTTTGAAAATGAGCAAATCAATATTGTAATTATATCACTGAGGGGGTTTTAATTACAACAACAACTACTCTATTCTTTTATAGTGCACTCCCAGGAAAAAGTCTCAAAGCGCTTTACAACAAATAACAACAAGTACTGTAGTAAATAATTTTGACTATTTAAACTAAAAAGATTTCTGAAATGCATGTGCACAATCGGTACAGGTGTCCAGAAAAGGGCTCTACCCGCTGCTGTTGAAACGTCGCTGTCACACCCAGGCACTCTTGATAGAAGTATGCTGGGTTCCGGTAGATTCCACCTCAGAACAAGCCCTCGGCTCTACTACCGTTGTGTCATGAACCATTGAGAATTCACTTAATTTGATTAAACTTTGATGTATATGTATTTTTGTTGTTTTTCTACCTTAACAGTTTGCTCAACACGTGACCTTAAGTTTCCTAGTTCAACCAAACACTACACAGACACTAACAAATTTATCTACCCCTTTCTTCGATTTCCACAATTATCATAATTATACTGAGCCTTGTGTACCTATTTGGGTATGTACAGTACATGCAGCACACAATAAATCACATTAATTTTCATTATTTCTATCTGGTACTACAACATTATAGTATTCTTGTGATATATAACTCAATTACTATTAGTATTATTTTTGATTATATATTCAATCTTCATAATTTTATTCATTTATTTTGCCCGGATTACTTACAACTGAAGCTTCCTCGTGTTTCACAAGCTCATTTCGCAGGTCCTGCACGACCCATTTCTGCAAAAGACACATAAATTAAAAACAACTTTAAATTCATCAGCAAAAATAGACACCTTACAACTAATATCAATAGATCAACTATTAGTAATTATTATAAACTCCCAATTACAGTACCCATAACTCCATCGCAGCATCTTCCAACTGAGGGATCTCATCAGAAATGCATAATTGCTACAGGATATAAGAAAACAAACTTTAAGGGATCAAGTCAAAAGTGCATAGTCCAAGTGTGGTAAAATGGGTGATGTGGTATTCAAACAAATAATAGTATTTGTATCATTGCAAACAGAATGGTCATGGTCCCTTGGTTTTTCTGAATGAAAATATTCAAAAGAATAAATTAATGATAATTAATCTACAAGCTAGTATAAATGAAGCGTACTGGAATGATTACTTTTATATTGCATATTGGTATCGAATGAAGGTGAATGTGAACTTTCAAAGTTAGTTAGACAAACACGATGCTTAACTAAAGCAAAATCAATTAGAAAATAATTACAAATCCATAATTATAACATATCTGTAAGCATTACATTAATTGGTTTTATATACATTTTCAACATAATAAAATTGCATTTTACTATTTATTGGTAAGTGGTGGGTACCCAGTATTGAAACTGAATCTTAATAAAGGGAAAAAAAACATTAGGAAAAGAATTGCCAAACTGTTAGGAAATGACAATGCAATCCCAACTAAAGAATAAGGAAGCAATATAAATATTAATTTTTTTAAAGGATTAATACACAAACTAATTGAAAACATGATTATAAATTTTATAATCTATTTAATAATAATAATGTCTAATATATTTTTTAATAAATAAAGCAATTTATTGATACAAAACCAGATGAAACTATTTGATCAACTATGAATAATATAGAGCCCTTTTCCTTGCGGTTACAAAGCGATTGTATTATACACATACAACAGGAAAATCAAATCTGCTTAAAATACAGATTAAATTCAGAAACTATTTATGAATTTATAATAAAGTTCAGACCCAAAAATTAATATAATACTGTAGAAGTGGATATTAGACCATATAAAAAATATTATTAGTTTATCACCCTATCTAGGCTGGAAAAGTGAGGAGGGAGGGCCGAGGTTTTTTTTTTTTGTTTTTTTTTTTCGTTTTGCTAAAGCTAAATATCACCCTTGGGTTGTTTGCTGGTACATTGATTCCAAAACAGTAAAACATGATTGAGATAATACAAACAATATCTATTAACTATTTAATTAAAAAAATAATTGAAAATATTTTTTTTTTCAAAAATTGTTATTTTACGATAAAATGTACAAATGTTTGAGAAGTTTAAATAATGTTAACATATACTCGAGCAGAGGCTTATTATTGTGTGAAAAAACTGCCACCTAGCTGTTTGTTTTGGTGTTAAACCCACTATAACGGCTTTGGTTTGGTGACTAATTCAGTCTCTTATAACATGAAAATGCTATAAAAAATAATTTTCTAATTTATTTATAAGTGTTTTATAATGTAAATATACAGATACTTCAAAAATTAAAAAATAATTGGCAGTAGCAGACTAGGAAACAACTAAGTGAGTAAAAAGCCTTGTAACCCAAAATTCAAATTATAATCAATACTAATGATGCTCTCCTTTGTCCTTATACAGCGAGGTTTGATATACTTTTGGGTAGTGTTGTTCTTATCACGCTTCAGCGGGTTCACAATTATGACATCGCCACAAAGCCATTCCATAAGTGCAAGGGGAGAGCAAGTCATAATTAGATAGTTTACTCTCCTTCGCAGATTATTTTCCTTGTTGCCCGACGCAACCGAGTGAGTAATAGATTAAAAGTATTATAGTTCACATCAAACTACACTTTTCCAATATACATACAATAATTTGTTATATTTTATATCATATTAATTATTATCAAACTGTTATATTATTATTAAGCTGTTACTTTTTGAAAATTAATTTTTGTATTAATATTTTTCTTGAATATGTGATTTTGATTCAACTGATGGAGGGATCTCAAGTCTCCCTAAGTCACAGGGATTCCCCTGTGAATCTAGATGGCCTCTGGCACTATTAATTTTTGTACCAATATTTTTCTTGAATATATTAAGAGGGAATTACCAGTTTTTGATTATGTGATTTTGATTTAACTGATGGAGGGATCTCAAGTCTCCCTAAGTCACAGGGATCCCCATGAATCTGGATGGCCTCCAGCACTCCCACAACCAATCAAGAAAAAAATAAGCCATCTCCCATAAATAAATTCATATTTTTACTACTGTAAATACCCCTTTATTATCATTTTCCTCATGGAAGTCAGTGTCCATGGGTATCACCATACAGTCTCCCAGAAATGACTTTATTCCAAAGTATGGGATGCTTGCTGATGCGAACCTTTACAATATAAATTCCCACACCACTTCCACAAAAACAAAAGTAAACTACCAAAATTATGGCATAAAAAACATCCCTCTTTTTTTTGGGGGGGGGGGGGGGGGGGGGGGGAGGGGGATACTGTACCACCCTTTTAACTTTTCTTACAAGTCAAAGCAACCTGAAAACCTAGAAATAAGAAACACTACATATATTATCACTGTATGAATGTCTTCTGAGGCCTACCCAAGGCCTACTTTACAAATATGATGAATGTGGTGCCAGCTATCTTTGTGAAGATTAACAAAAACCTCTGGAAATATATCTGGTTACTAAGTAATTAATATCATCCTTCCGTTTCTCTTTCTGTGACTTAAATATTAATTTCATCACTACTATTCAGTTAGCTTTTAGCAAAATGGAAGGATCATATAAATGTCAAGTTTACATCAGAAATACACAGAAGTTATAAAAACATTTCAGTGTACAATAGTATCCAAGGCCCTTAATCCTTGAAAATCTAGGCTTCTCATTGCCTGGAAACATGCATAGCCACAATATCAAAAACATTGAATTTGCTTGCTTCCACCACAAAACAGCATTCCACTATGGACAGTCACTGGAATCAAAGGCAAAGACTCCATCTTGGCCAGTTTAAGCAATTGTGGGATGATTTTTGCCCAAAGAATTTTTATAACATTTCCCCCCTGTTTTTAGTCTCACTAGCCATGTACAACTGGGGTGCTAGAACTTTTTGCCCTTTCTGCTGCTGTCATCGCTGTATGGGAATTTGACATAAAACTTGATTTAATTTTATTTCAATATCTATCTACTGTACCACATGAAGAAGTAGAGATACTGTGTCGAAGTTCAGCACGGTATCCTGTGGGCAAGCAATAATGTTACTAAACATTCTCCTGCAAAATTATAATTTAAAGGAAAAATTATTTATTTTGCTTTGCATATTTTACAACTATGTTATAGTCTCCCTGAAGTTAGCTGACAAGGGATATCAACAGGAACACTGATACATAAATGTTAAGAAAGCTTATGAAAAAAGTCTTCAGGTCACTTCTCTTAACTTGTTACTCTAGTTTAATACCATGGTTGCATATAACACTACTGCGGTGTTTATGTACATTAGCACACATGATGATGGTACTACCAACACTTTAAGCAATTTGTATTGTGGGTAGCATTGTAAATCTGGTATGAAATTATGTGCCGAAGAAAAATCAGCAGCAAATCTATATTCTTCAATTGTGTGTTGAATATCAAAAACAATTTTTTCTACTAAGCTCTGTTCAGTGAAGCAGCCATTTTGTGAAGTTTTTATGGTTCCACCTTCTTGGAGCAAATGCATTGTAAAGTGTACCAGATAATTCTTGCTTTATATGATTACATTCTTGAACTGGTTTATTCATCTGTTGCTTTTCATTTTAAATCATGTGATGAATAATGCCGGTTGAGACGCAGTGGGATAATCAAGTCATGGACTTCACACCCAATCGAACAAAGAATAGTTAATATTGAAACAACATGGAATGGCAGTATCTCATTAAGGTCCACTCGTTTGTGGCTTAATAGTTAGAATCACCATCTTAAATCTGTTGCAAATTCTGAACTCTACAACATTACTGTCTTTTTAACTTGGGTAATAAAATAATGGTAAATACAGTACATCGTTACCTTGATCTCTGATCTTATACTTTAATGCTATGCCTTTGCAATGAGAGCATAATTCCCCATATAAATCTTACAGACAACATGTTAAAAGAAAAAGAAAAATCAAATGAAAAAATGATGATAAATATTATGAGGTATAATTTGTTATACAGTATTCATTAGGAATACTGTACATTAGATTTGAATTAGACTTCATATTATTTTACTAATGCTATCTTATTAATCTGTCTATTTCAAACAGTTGTAGACAAATTTTAGTGTGCATTAATTTCACTCTTCATCTCATCTGCACTTTCTCTTGTTTAGACACTTTGTATTCACATATTCCCATAATTGATCTTTCTATCAAACTGGACTACCACTTAAAAGACAGCTTACATTTTAAATTGAAATACTGTGTTTAGTAAAAGCTACTAAATAGATCCATCTTGAATAGTATTCACATAAATTCATGTCGTATCTTATGAGACCGTACATACTCTACCATATATTTTCCCCACAAAAAAAAAAACCAAAAACACATGTTTTATTCAATTTATGATACTGTAAAGTACACTTTCTGTGTTTAAAGAATACACAGTACATCCATTTTTTTCTAATGCAGCCACATGCCGTTTTTCCAATGGAAGTCGGCCTTAAATTTCTAAATATAATCAATGGATCACCAAAAATTCTTATGAATAATGAAAGTAATTTCCCTACACCTGTACAAAGGAAACAGAAATCAGACATACAGTATCAGCAATCAACAGAATTTCTAATAATTATATTAAACTCTGTCTACCGAGTCAAGTTTAGATACGACAAATACTTTGATTTGCCCATATTTGACTTTATCATGCCCATATAAGCAGGGGTGGCGGCAGGATTTGCCCAACGGGGGCAAGGGGCTCCCCAACGGGGAGGCCCCTGGCACCCCCCCCCTGCTGGCGCCAACCTTGCATATAAGGACAAAAATCAAACAAACTGGCCACAAAAATGCAATAGTGTGGACAAAGCTCTAAGTATATGTAGTAATTAATTCTCCTTCTCATCATAAATTACGATCAGGTAGATTAGACCTGTGAAATTCTAGATGGGGTGTCAGGTGTCCTTATTGTAATATGTCCCCTATTTTAAAGTTTATTTGATGATCACCATTATCTCAATACTTCATAGGTAGGAACTCTAGATTTTTAATAATGAATTAAACACCATATGAAAAATATTCATTTTAACTAGTTTCTATTTCAGAAATGGTTTCAGGAATAAAAAGGACAAGAAATTTGAATACATAAAATAAATCTTAAAAAATATTTTATAAATTTTCAGATTTAAAAACTCAAAATTTCGACAATGAGCATTATCATCATATTCTTAATTGTATCAATCCAACACAAAACGGTAACCAAGGTACAGCTGGAGCTAATCATGCTTGGCACCTTAAACTTTTACAAACCTGTTCTACAAAACGAATTTGATTCCATTATTATGAATCATGCCTCTTGGGCAGTGGCGGCTCTAGGATATATTTTCTGGAGGGCCTAAGCTGTGCGACAGGGGACTCGAGATTGTATGCCCGAGTTGGGCAAGAGGGAGTTCCCCTTCCAAATAAGAATTTTTTCAAGAATAGCAACCTCTGGATGGCCGGAAATGGAAATCTCAGACTGACACGTATTGGCTTGGTGCGGGCCTGTTTATATATTTTTTATGGTCTGACTGCCAGACGAGCTCTGTCCAGTGGGGGGGGGGGGGCTTGACCTGTCCTGTGGGAGACTTAAGCTTTCCCCGTCTCCCCGCTGGCACCATTGTTCTTGACTGGTATTGCACGCAATTAAAGTGTCTTTAAAATCCTACCATAGTTTTCTAACACATTCTCTATGTATTTACCACGGCTGTAGAAAGGCCAACCGAGGATAATATATACATTTTGTCACTATCAATCGCATAATTGCATAACATGATATATGACAAAATATTGTGGTTAGCCTAATATTAATGTTAATCAAAAGAAAAAACTCACCTGTTTGTCACTCAAAGCTTGTATTTTCAACTGTTGTTCATTCAGTTGCTTTCGCAGCTCAGCATTCTACATGGATAGGAAGAGAATTTGCTTTTCTGGTCAAAATCATTGATTATCTAAAGAATATTAAATTTAAGTACAAAAATAGAAAATGCCATAGAGTATTACAGGATACTGCAATAAAGTACTTCTAAGCACTGTGCATTACCATACCATCTCTAGTCACTAGATCAAACACCTGGAAACCATCCTCAATTCCCTCAGAAGCACCTTTCCATAGTAGAGAATCAGCGCTTGGTATTGGATCATACCATGGAGGTCCTACTAGTTACCCAGCCCAACTAAACTCCTGGATCGAGACAATGAGTAAAATATGCCTTGCCCAAAAGCATGCATAATTTTTAAGAATGTCAATGTTTACAGTAACGATTGTACCTTTTTATTGATTGTAGGTTTGTAATTGGTTTTCAAATTTTCTCTTGTTTCTAAGATTTTACTTATTATTACCATATTTTTACTGTGCAATTGATGCAATTCAGTGTAATGCTGCCATGTCAAATTTGATGATATTGTTTGAATAAAACAAGAAATGAACTACAACCAATCCACTGCCACCAACTGCAATCCACAATCATAAATATTTTTTTTAAATATTTACTAAAAGTTTGCATAGTATTAAATTTTAAATTAAAAACTTTTGTACTCCTCTTGAAACTGAAAATGCATAATAAACAACACTCTACTAAATAATCACTACCATCATTAATGGCTATCGTGTACCATCTGGTAGAAGAAACACTGAAATCTGCCATCTGTGGAAGCAAGTATTTCCATGACTCCTTTGTAACATATTGTACACTAACTATTAAAAAAACTAGAATACATAATATTTTCTCATTTCAATTTTTCCAGTTGGTTCCATTTAATGTTTAACGAATCTTGTCCTTGAGTAATTCCTGCTTTTGGACAAATCCCCCTCCCCCTTCCCCCCAGAAATCTGATCTGAATTTCAAATACCAATTATTTTCATTATTTTATCTCTTGTTTTATCATTTCGCCTACTACAGTAACATCTTCCAATTACGAACTTCCCTTTTACGAACTCTCGATTTTACAAATTCAATTTGCGGCGATGATGTCATCATGGATGATCGTTTTTAACTACAAAAACAAATGTATTTAAAAGTCTTCAAAAATAATATAAAATATTACATCAGCTAATAATGATAACAATTAAAACCAATAAAGTGACATAAAACTTCAGTTGTAAGCAAGAAATATCAATTGTTTTCAGCAGTGATTTATTACATTTAAGCTGTGCATGCTTGCTCAGGCATATTGTACTACGCAAGTACTGTATCTTATAATTACTTGTAGCTAATGTTCTCCACAATTCAGTAAAAGAAGCATAAAAGTAATTGTAATTGAGAGAGGGCTTCCTAGTTGTTACACGTCGTAGATATCAACGTTCAAAAGCAATTGTAATTTGCGGGAGGACGCCCTACACTCCGTTGCATGCAGAAATTGTGAAAAATCTTTGCTGTACAGTAAATCTCACTTTTTGTTCATGGAGCGCTATTCGCATGGATTTGTGATCTTTATGAAAAGAATAATCTATAGTTTTGTTCATTATTTGGTCATGTTTTCATTCGAAATCACTTCAAATGAATATTTCACAGTGAGCACATGTAATTTTGGCTTCTGTAAAGTATTATTTTTTGCAGAAAACAGTAAAATCCAAGTAAATTTTCATGATGAAATTTTGCTCCCATTGCAAAGCTTAAGCCCGCCTAGCCCTATACTTTGTAGCATAGGCCTACTCTCACCACAGTGAGATGCTACGAAAATTCTAACTCTCTAAATTACAAATTTTCTCATTTACGAACTTTGTTCGGACGGAGAGTTACGTAATTGAGAGGTGTTACTGAATTTTTTTTCTGATCATATTTATATTATTATTCTTTAGCATTATAATATAGGCTATACAGTTAATTACTGTATATACCTTAGCATTTTCCCTATATTTTAAAGTAGTAGTTCTGTTTTTTTCCTTTTCGCCTACTTTAATGTAGTTCTTTTTTATCTGATTATAATTTTAAAAAGGGGAAAAAAATCATAAAACACACAATCTTGTGAGCACTTAACAAAATTAACCTACTGTAGTAGTTCTTTTTTGTTTAATTAAATGTTAGTTTTTTTTTTTTTAATTAAATGTTATTGTCATGTTGATTGATGTGCGACTACCTGTACACTACAATACAAAAACATTGTTCCCCTTTGGCTTTGCCCTCTCCTACTTTGTAACAAGGAAATAAAAACTAAGAAATTATTGTTTCCCACAAATGTTTTAATAGCAAAGAATTCAGTCATTTTACAGAGGTTCTAATAGAACATTACAATCTTTTAGTTAATCAAAAGTATTGTATTAAAGTGGTATCCAGGGGTTCCAAGTTGGAAGGAATCCCTTCTGGGAGAACTGGTTACATAAACTTCCTTAAAATATTTTTATTTTGCTGCGCATAGTGAAACCAACCACAAAAAAATAAAAAGAAAAAGAAAATCAACAGTAATAATGTGAATAAAAATTTATATTTTGCATAATAGCAGCATTGATAATCAGAAAATAACATATGGCAAATTTCACCAGTTAAGTCAAACAAGCTTACTCTTTAAATTTGTTATTGATTTTACTTTAGTGTTGTAGTAAAGGGGCCCTTTATAGGCTACTGTAATATGGTCTAAGATGACAATGACGACATTGCCATGATAATTAGACAGAGAAAGCGAGAGTTTTTCACGTGAAATGGTCAGTGGCTATCACGGCATCTTAATCAGATGACCTTTGCAAAAGGAAATTGAAAATAAACCCTTGTAGTTTGAGTGCCTCTGAACATCTTCCAGTAGCTGATAAATATTGTTCATATTTAGGAGTTCATAATGTTGCTGTTCTTTTAAAAACTAGAAAAAACGCTTCCACCACTCCCTCTCCACTTTTCACATTGATTACTACCACCAAAAGTGTCTTGAAATTATGATTCCTATTAACCATGCATACACGGTACACTGTTTGACGAGGATGCAAGCTCCAAAGATAATTATTTGATAGAGATAAATTATATTTAAGGTCATGAATTGTGCTTACGAAAGAACAAGTTGATTATACTTACAAATGGCTCTCGCTTGATTCTCGAAACCAAATACTGAAAAATACAGAATATGGATGCAATTTTATTAATCCTTCAACCAACATAGTTCAATGAAAGGTCAACAAGATGTATACAATCATTCATTCAAAATAATAAATCAATCACCAGTATTCACTTCCCAGAAAACAATTACAATTCTTGATCTCTCAAATATCTACCCCCTCCGTCTGAATAACGTCCATAAGACCTTATCTATAAGCCCCGCCCCTTAAATATTAGTGAGCTTTCAATTTGTTCGACAAAGGCGACGCTATAACGGAATCACTCATGCGTGACTACTGTACATTCCTTACAGATTTTGCCAAAATGCTTCCTAGAATCCATGTGACGAGAACTTAACGTTCTCGCATGCACATATTACTTTTAGTGACGTTACGTTCTACCGTCACTGTGCAATCAAAAGCTCCCTAACGTTTCTAATGTCCCATAAGACGGCAGTGTAAAAACATACGCAGACACAAGCGTTTGTGGGGCAACACTTGTGCTTGTGAGTGACGCACACTCCTGACCCTCTTCTTATTGGTCAGTTAAGTTCGACACTCTGGAAACGTCACTGATAAATTTTGTGATGCAGGGAATTTTTGCAGCATCTCAATCATTAGGGTATACTGTGGTACGGCTAGAATAATAATAATAATAACAGCAACAGCAATAAGCAGGTATCGCTGTGCACTTCTGCAAGTGGTGGAATGCAATCTTCACTGGTAGTCTAAAAACAAATACAGTATCTCCGAATTACGTACCCCTCCGTCCAAACAGAGTTTGTAATTGAGAAAATATGTAATTTAGAGTTCAAATTTTCATAGCACCTCAGTGTGGTGGGGGTAGGCCTAGGCCTATGGCACCAAGTACAGGGCTAGGTAGGCATAAGCTTTGCAATGGGAGCAAAATTTTGTCACGAAAAAATTACTTCAATTTTACTGTTTCCTGCAACAAAGCAATCCTTTACGGAAGCCAAAATTACCTGTGCTCACTATGAATTATTCATTTGAAGTGATTTCCGAATAAAAACTTGATCAAATAATGGCCAAAACGAGTGTTACTATTCTTTTCATAAAAATCGCGAATCCACGCGAATAGCGCCCCTATTGAACAAAAAGTGAGACTTAATGTACAGTATGCCTGAACAAGCATGCACAGCTCAAATGTACTGTATCTCTGCTGAAAATGATCAATATTTCTTGCTTTAAACTCAAGTTTTATGTTACGTTATTGGTTCAAATGTTTTATTTTTTAGCTGATATAACATTTATTATTTTTGAAGACTTAAATAAAATATTAAGTGTTTTTGTAGTTAAAAACGATCATTCGTAATGACGTCGTCGTCACAAATTGTGTTTGTAAAATTGAGAGTTCGTAATTGGGAGGTTTGTAATTTGGAGATGTTACTGTAATGGCATCTCATATTTATAGTGACATAAAATATTAATTAATAGAATGACAATCATAAGAATAACAATAATATTTTTGAAGTTTATGTGTGACGAGTTGGTAAAGGGGACCGAATTGGTATGGTCCAACTTGGAGGAGGGCAGAGTTAATTTTAAACCTTGCTAACAGTCATAGAAGTGCTAATTACTGAATTATGTGTTAATCCATTAGTCTTTGATTTGAGCCTTTTCGAATGCTTTGTTCCACATTTTTACGATGACAGTTTTTACGGTGGGCACGGAAAGTATAACGATAGCGATGTTAGGTTCACTGTGAAAACAATTTATCAATTAATTAAATGTACCACTAGCAGTCGAAATAATAAGCACATAAAAAGAATTAGACCACAGGAATGAAAGTTGTAGATTTGCGTCCAAAAAATATTAAAAACATGAGGCATTTTTTCATTATTCATTACTTATATAAATGCTAGGCCTAGGCCTACAATCAGTCATAAATATACACTAAAAGACATCTTTTATTTAAGAAGTGGATCATATGTAATTTTAGGAAAGTTATTTATAGTTTGGCCTTTAGAAATATTGTAAACTATTATACTCTTTTATTATGTAAATAGAGATCAAAAAGTATAGATGAGAAACAGATAATAAATAGAAGATAGAGCAGTACATGATGAGTGGAACATCTTGAACAGCTCTTTTCCTGCAAAATGATTAAAATTTTTGTGCGGTAGCTTTTTTGGCATGCGGACTGTGCACGCAAATCTACAACTTTCATTCCCAAGCCCATACTACCCTTAGCTTAAAACTCTGCAGGTAATGCTCTTTCAATAGAAAATATAATATGAATATGAATTAACTATCTAAGTATACAGGCCAGAAATGTGAACTTTTTAATTTATACATTTCAGTCAAGTAACCTTTACTTTGATGGCTGCCATACAAAAAAAAAATAAATAACTGCACTCGTGTGTTGAGAGGTCCAACGTATTCTTTTTCGTCAGTAATCAATCGTGGTCAATCGCGGCAGGCTAAAACTTGAAAGTTTTTGTAGCCTGCGTATATCAAATAGCAATACAACCGACTCTAATAGGTTGAATAAATAATAAGCATGATCTTAGGGTAATATTATGGTATAAGGAAGGAAATAATAAAAGATCATCAATTAAAATTTTAGTCTGTAATCAGTCAACACCCCAGCCCTTCTCTTTTGGAAGTAGCTTACCCTGGAGGTTGTTGCTTCGCGCAGAAACTCTCCTTGTTGTCCCTTTAAAAGAAAGATGGGGGCGCTAACACACCGTCGATGAGAAACTCAAATCGGCCAGTTAATAAATGTAAATTGATGCAAAAAATACAATTCATGGAAATTATCAAAAACATCCACATACCTGATGACTCTGTATTTCTTTCCTTAACTGGGCTTGTAATTTAGCAAGCTCTGGATTCGCCATTTCATAAAATCTGTCGGTTTCATGAAACTGGCCCGTTCGGTCCCTACTCTAAACAACGGAAAGTGGTAAATCACCGCAGCACAGTGGCATCAGCGTATTAATTTGTGATAAGAAAATGTACTGAAATATCGTTTTTTTCTTGTTGATACAAATAAACAACATATATATGTAATACAAAATATATATGTTTTCAATTATGGTGAAAAGTAACAAATAATACTCTCAGTATAAAGAAATTTTGCTCCTACTTTTTCCGGCGGATGAACTTAATTATTCCAATTATAACATTCGCCACTTTGTTCGTTTTGTTCCTCTCTTTCTGGATCCCCCGGATGTTAAAATGTTTGTAACTTCATAGTGTAGGGTTGCTATTACTAATATAATTATATACAATTATGTATAGGTATTCATCAAACTTCTGTTTGTAGAAAATTTATAATTTTAAGACGTTTTGAGTTTCTTCGAAGTAGTACAAATCACTACTTCTAGCGCCACCAGGACCAGCTTCGCAGACTGAGCTCGGGATCGGCTGTTCGTGAACGTGATTTTCACACGCCAATTTCTCTGGAAGTTTGCTTTATGTTTCTGGTTGATTAATTTAAATTTTAAAATATTTTCGATTGAGGTAGATTTTGCTCGCGGTCTGGATTTGTTTATACGTTATACTTGAGTTCGAGAACCTTCTGTAATTTTCCTGTTTTAGGCCTAAAAGATCCTGAAATTTGGTGGGACTGACCCGGCCCAGGCCTGGCTCTGGCACGTTGTTCTGAGAGTTGCGTATCTTGAATAGGCCTATTCTTTTTGTCGCTGCGCCGTAAAATTACTCATATTTTTTTACTAATCACAATAATATTTTTTTGATCATCATTTTATATTTAAAAACATGATATTTTGCTGTTTTCATTTAATTTGGGCTTAGATTATACGGTAGGTCTTACACATGCTCGCGGCGCGGGGCCTTGCGTAAAATCAATTCTAACACCTTTAATTGCAATCTAAAATGTAGGCCTATATGTAAAAATACAATTATGCTTTAAGTACAAATTCACAAGTATAGGCCTATATAAAGGAAAAAAGTACAATTAAAAAAAATTAGAACATTTATACAAACATTTCATACACTACAGAAACAAAGAATTGAATTAACTATTGCACATTAATATCTAGAAAAATACAGCAGTTTAAAAAAAAATTAAAACTACAATAATCAAATTTACAATGAATTAAAAACAACTATTCTTAATAATGAAAGATTCATTATTTATTAATACACAAAAAATAATCAATTATAGTAATAATAAATATCAAAATTATTATAATTGTAATTATAATTGAGTAATATACAAAATATTTTAAAAGGAAATAGGGCCTACGTCTCGTACGCACATCATTTTTATAGAGCAATTCAAGAAATAAGAAATGAGTCTTCAATTAATTCAAATTAATAGCCTTGTATGTTCATACACACATGAAGAACTATGGGTTAAAATGGTGTTATTAATGGCGTATGGTTTGGGGTTTGGGGATAGTAGGTGATATACTGATG